CTATGAGTCGGAAACGACTCGACGGCACATAACAACAATAGTTGGTATATAGATGTGTGGATATGAAGGATCTCTTTATAATGGAGGATAAATTTTAATTATGATTGAGAGAATGAAAGGAATGGAGAAAATGTGAGTGCAAGATTTTTAGGTGGAAGGCTCTGTGAAAACACAGAGCCATGAGGCAGGACACAGTGTGTTTGAAAACTTACAGACATTTCGCTCTTCCTGGAATGCAGTGTGTAAGGGAAAACACTTAGTAGATAAGATTGAGTTTGCAAGAAAATGTGGGCTTCTAGAGCAATAGAATATTTTAGAAAGTGCCTATGTGTGGCAACCACTTTGCTACACAGTAATAAGGCATCACTAATTGTGAACAAGTGAATAATATTATTCACAGATTAACCTGAGGTAGAAAAAAATCTAAGGCTGAAGGTTCAGGGATCTGCCAAATATTATTGAGAAATGTCTCATACAACAACATGAAATACAGTGATGATCTGAGGTGGAGATCAGTCATTTCCCTGCTTTGAACCATCTCTATCCTTCTCCCCCTCTCCCTAGTCAGCACCCAGCCTTGTTTTCACGGCTGACATTGAGCTCCTCCAATGATTCTTTCCACATATGTAGTCTAATTTCTGTCCATCATGTGAGGTCTATGGGTTTTTTTTTTATATTTTAATTTATTTATTTTTCATTTAAATGAACATCTACAGAGATTTTGGAATTCCATTCATTCATTGTTGCACCCTTGGGTTGTTTTTTTTTTTAAAGATATTTGTAATGAATAAATCATTAATTATACAAAATTCAGTTATTTGGTCTCCAGTCTCCTTTCTATCACTATGTTTATAATTTCTGACCACCTGCTGCCCTTTGTTTCTAACTTCACCAATTTCAGAATACAAAAGTTGGTAGAAATTTTTAATTTCCTCCTCTTTGATTTCAGTTATTGGTGCATATTTTAGAAAAATAGTTACATTAACTTATCTTCCTTGTATACAGATGGATAGTATCCTATCACTTATAGTATTTTACTTGCATAGCTCATGAAACGCAGATAGACATTCTTCTGGTACTCTCTGCTTTCAGCTAAGATCCCTCTAACATTGGCTATACTGTCTCCACAGCCTCTTCTAAATCCCATTTGAATATCTGGCAATTCTCTTTCGATGCACGGTTCCAATAATTTTTTGGATAGTCTTTAGCAGAATCTTGCTTGCATGTGGTATTTGTGATATTGTTCAAAATTCCTACACTCTGTCAGATCATATTTTTAGATACTCTTTCTATATATTTGTGTAAGTAAATGAATGATAGGGAGCACAACATCAAGAAAAGGGATTTATAGGAGAAATACTAACATGGTGAAGTTGAAAGCACTTACTGAATAATTAGAAATCTCCCACTGATTAAAAAATAACACAATTTGAGCCAGGCACACCTTATCCTCAAAGGGATATTTTTGCTTTTGAAGGTTTTTCTGAAGGCCATTGCAATGGATTTACTCAATGTAATCCCACATTTATTTTCTTGATGACTGCTTTCATAAATGTTGGTTGTGGATATAAATAAAATGAAATCAATGAGAACATCAATTTTTCTCCATTCATCATGTTGTTGCTTTCAAGGCCAGTTATGAGATTTTTGCTTTCTTGATGTTAAGTTATATGTTATATAATCCATGATGAAAGCTGTAGTCTGATATTCATCAAACTGCTGCAAACAAATGTGGAAATCATTTTTCTATATATTTGTGGTGTTCATGAAATTTTACAGATAGATTTTTTTTTTGTCATATGATATGTATTTGTATCTATCTATTTACTTCTGGGGTTCCCCACAAAGATTACAAAAAAAGTGTGACATAGTCTTATATTTGTAATCAGACTTGATTTATGTTTTAGTCTATGATTGAATAGAAAGAAAAAATATTTGTTATTACTTTAAAATGCAAATCCTTTATATAAAGCATCCTGGCAATTAAAGGTAGATTTTATAAAGAGGATACATTTTTAACATTAAGAAAATTTACTATACAATTTCTTAAAATGTATTCTTTTTATTTAAATGTAAAATGTTATCCTTTTTTTTTCACAGTTACACCCAGAGAAAAAGAGAAAGAAAAGATCAAAGGAAAAGAAAAGGTAAAAGAAAAAGACAAAGAAAAACCTGAAAAGAAAGGTATGGAATAATATTTTTTATTTTGCATTTAGATAATTTTATGTTAGTTTTTAGAACTACTATAACAAAAATACAACTTGTAAATAACTCTGCATAACAGAAATGCATTTTCTTACAGGTTAGGGATCAGAAATCTGAAATTAAGGAAGTGACTAAGGGAGACACTCTGGTTCAGTGCTGAAAGCATTTAGCTACTACCCAAAAAACTTAATAGTTCAAACTCCCCTGTTGCTCTAACTGTGAAATATGAAACAGCTTACTAACTTGACTATTTACAACCACAGAGTCACTAAAAGAGAGAAGTCTAGTTAGCTTTTCAGGGTCACTATGATGGCAATAAGTTTTTATTCTGTGTGTTTGTTTTGCATAAAGAGAAAGTCACTCAGTTGACTCTTGGGGAAAATCCTCATCTCAGTTTCTATAGCCCTCAGATTCTTAGGTTCCTAGGTGATTTTCACATGGTGTATATCCTCCCTGAATTTAGATCTGCTTCTTTGTGTTTCTGTTGCTCCTTACACACTCTGCACTGTTAGACCTCTTTAACTTCACAAAGAAAATTCCATTCCCTAACATGATTTTATCCATTGATAGTTTAGAAGAATTTGAAGGAACACAGTCCTACCCTTGAAGCTAGAGATGCTAAGATTTTCTTCTGTTAGTATTGATCTCTGAGGATTCATTTGTTATTGTTGTTGTTGTTATGTGCAACTTGTAGAGAAACAGCTCTGAACTTTGAATCCTGAGCCGGTCTCACTGACTCCAACACACCAACCCCTATTGCCCTAGCTATTGTATTAATACATCTCATCAGGGCCTTCCTCTCCTGCACTGTCCCAATAGACAATCACAAATCCTGCAGGTGATCTGCCCAGATTGAAAAGCAGAAATAGAAAACTTCATAGTAAGTGTGCTTTTGTCTATTATACATCAATTGCAGGAACTTTTGAAAATATGTGTTTTACTCTACTAGTAATACAAACAGGGAGCGCTGGTAGCCTAGTTGTAAGGACTTAACACTAATAAACCAAAGGCAGTCAGTTCAAATCCACCAGCAGTTCTGACAGAAGGGCAATCTCCTCGTGTCATTTAAAGACTCTGAGAAGTCACTGAAGTGTTAGTTTTAAGTTGGTTCTGACTAAACCACACATAGCGGCAGCAGCAACATCTGAACTCACCTGAAACTCTGAGAAAGATCTCTTGATCTGCTTTTGTAAAGATTATAGCCAATAAACCTTACTGATCTGTTCTACTTTGTGTAGTCACCACAAATCAAAATCAACAGCAATTTTTTGTACAAAAATATCTACTGTATTCTGTGACCTTGTGTCCTAAATACCCTAACATGTTACTTCTAATAACAATATTCAGGTTATTACCTATAATCGGAAGTGATTTTTTTAAAAAAGGTGGGGAAATAGCTTTGGGGACAACTGCAACAGACTGAATCCTTGAAGGCGACACTTCTCTATGAGACATTGCCGTTGAGTTGGAACTCACCGATTGCTGACCTTCCAGTGAGTTTGAAGAGGCTGTATATTACACAGGAGGCTGTTTGCCCTCTCTCTCTGCAGAGCAGGTGGATTTGAACTTCTGGGGAGGCTCCATCTTTGGATTAGCAGCACAACTCCCTCTGGACTAAGGCCCAGAGCTCCCTTCTCTCTCAATGTTGTTAAGTACCATTGAGTCAGCACTGGCACAGGGCTGACCCTCCAGCAGGTTTTCAGAGGCAGTAAATTACGTGGGAGGAGGCTGTCAATCTCTCTCCCACAGAGCAGCTGGGGGATTTGAAATGACTACTTTTTTGGTTGGCAACACAATTCCTTGCCATTAAGCCACCAGACTACTAGAATCCTTTGTCATCTAATCAACTCTTACTGGTGGTGACTCTGTGAGTATGATATGGTAGAACTGATCCATGGAGTTTGTGGGTTGATGGTGGTGGTTGTTGTTTGTTTTTTTCTTTTCTGGCTGTAATTGTAATTGAAGCCTATCACAGAGCCATTATAGTACTAATAGTTTGATTAAAAAGGTCAGACCTGTGCTTTATGGTTTCTATGAAGCTTCCATTCGCTTCAAAAATTCAGGCAGTTACTCACAGATTATGTTTTAAAGGAGTACTTTTTAGCAAATGTTTTAAGCACATTTCCTCTTTCGTAACATAAGTAAAAATGATGTCTATTATTATCATTATTATACAGACTAAAAATGTAAACATTTGGAACTATAATTTAGCAATTTATATTTTTCCTTAAAACAATTGTTTAAGTGAATATCTAATTTTGTTTTTCTAAAATATCTTTAATTTCCATTATTATTCTCCAGCATACAATCTGTTGAAAATGTATAGTCATTTGGGAAAATTACCAAACCCTGAAGTTTAATATATTCGAAATATAAAAAATAAGATGTACATTCAGTTGTAGTTCTCAAATCTCAGTTACCTAAACTAATAAGACATATAACTTTACTAGTATATAAAAAGAAAATCAAAGTTAGTAAAAAAAATTATTATTAAAATACTGAGACAAACATATAATGTTTCAAATATTAGGCCCAATACACTGCAATTAACAGATAAAGTTCAGTTAGTAATTTGTTTTCGTTACTTAGTACTCTAATAATACTCATCTTCCTTAGAGTGTGTTTGAAACTTTTGATTGTCAAAGTGACTTAAGGCAGAAATTTACAATGATTTGGTAAACAGACCCCAGAGAGGAGATGCATCTGTCTCCAGTGCATGACAGCCCCTAAAGAGAATTATTCTTCTCCAAATGTCAGTTGTGCTTACATTGAGAAATATTGTAATTACTTAAATACCTTCATTTAATTTAACTATTTCCTTTTTACTAAGCCTAAAGAAGCTTCAGCCTGCTGTATCTTTTGGAGAAATTATAACAAAATTCCTCTCAGTTTGTCTTTCCTAAAACCGCTAACTGTTTCAGTACTGATCTGAAGAAGGAGAATGAATTCAGATTTTAAAATTCTCTGTATTAGTTCTTTTCTTAAAAAAATTCACTCAGATTTATTTTATTTTTTAAATATTTTTATTTTAATTGTGATTTTAACAAAAGTGTACAGAAAAGTTAGATTTTCAGTTTGCACATTTGACCCACTCTCTCTTCCTTCCCTCTCCCCAAGTAGGCTTTTTAAATTCTAGTTTATTTACAAAATTCAAATACATTGTTTTCCAGAACAGATTCTTCCAATTTCCCTCACCTCTCCACCCATCAAATTGTACAACTCCATGATTAATCCCCCTCCCCCTGCACATCCTCAACCCTCTGCTTGCCTGCTCCCCCACACCTGTTGCTCCTTATACTCATTCTACAATAATGGTTTTATACAATATTTGTCCTTGAGGGACTGAGTTAGTTCACTCAGCATAATGTTCTCCAGTCCCTCCCAAATTAGGTAGTAATTTACAAAATCATTGCTCCTCTGTGCTGCGTAGAATTCCATTGTGTGATTGTACCATAATTTCTCAATCCATTCATTTGTGGGTGGACATTAGGGCTATTTTCATGTTCTTGTGATGGTGAATAGTGCTACTATGAACATTGGTGTACACATCTCTGTTTGTGCCTCAGTTTTCATTTTCTTACGGTATATTCCAAGTACTGGAGTAGTGGAGTCATGTGGAATTTCTATGTTTAGCTTTCTGAGGAAGTGCCAAACTGCCTTCCAGAGTGGTTGCACCATTTTACAATCCCACTAACAATGTATAAGAATTCCATTCTCACCACATCCTCTATCATCACTGCTACAATAACTTAACATTTAGGAATTTTATTTCTAAATTATTCTTGTTAATGTTATGCCTCTTAAAAATAATCTCTAAGATTGATAGCTACAAAAGTTATCTGAAGAGAAATTTGGTCTTGAATTCTTTTAAAATAATGTTCTAATCTACATTTTTTTGTTTAAGCAACTCACAAGGATAAAATTGAGAAAAAAGAAAGACCAGAAACAAAAACAGTGGCAAAAGGTAATTTTTTCTTTATATTTCCATCATTACATTATTTTTACTTTAAAATACTACATTTAAGGGAACAAGTAGACATATGAATGAGAGCATTTAGCATTTTATTTACCTAAAAACTAAGTTTATTTATACTTAAAATTTACTATCTAAAAGAACAGAAAAGTTAACTATTTGAAATAATGCAGTGTTACAAAATGAGAGAATGAAGAACCTCATTCTATTTTGTAAATGGAAGGTTGTCCTTCATGTCCTTCACACTTTGATGTCACCAATTGATTATATTTCGCAGAGGTATTTAAAGTTAATCATCAGTTGGTCTAAAATAGGGTGATTATCCTGGATTATTCAAGTGAGCTCAATATAATCACATAAGCCTTAAAAACAGACAAGTGATGCAGTGTAAGAGGAAATCAGAGAGCATTAAATGTGAGAAGAACTTGCACCTTTTTGCTGACATGACAGTTGAAGGCACCACATGAGAAATGAAAAGGAAGTGAATTCGCCAACATGTTGAGTAACCTTGGAAAATGATCAGTTTCTAGGTCAAGAACTCAACCCACCTGATACATAAGTTTGACCTTCTGAGACTCCAAGCAGAGATCCCATTTTAAAATTGCTTAACACATTTATTTTTTAATTTTTTTTCTCCATGGAAAAACTCATTGCCATTGAGTTGGCCCTCCATGGAGTTTCTGAAGCGTAAATCACCCAGGAGGAAATGACTTCTTTTTCTCCAGCAGAACTGCTAGTGGACTTTAAATACCAGAGAGGTGTGGCTTTTGGTTTAAGCAGTGAAACTCAGCCACCAGTGGAAATAATGACTGGGTGTTGCTTTAAGATGGTATATTGCATTGAAACAGATGAGGGGGAGAACTGTTTAAAACGGATATAAGGTTAGGTATTATTTTCATGATAAAATTACAGAAAAAGAAATGCATAGTAAAGTGGACTGTGGACTTGGGAAGGAATTGTATCACAATGGAAGAAAAAATTTTTTTGTTCTTTTCAAAGAGAAAAATGAACTGGGGGAGGGGTGGACAGGGAGGAAAATATGCAACAATGATTGAATGGGGGAAAATTAAATGGAAAAAATATGCTGTAAAAATATATATGTTAATTAAAAATCATTAATAAAAAAGAAAAACAGAAATATATAAAAACCATTTAGGTTAATGATAGTTGGGCTTTAAGCTTTACTATGACAAAACAGATTAGTCTATTAAGTCTTAGATCTCTAACAGGTTTAATTATTACCATTTCTTTTCCTCTTTCATAAAATGTTTATTGGTTTGCTTACAGAGTTCTTATAGATTGTATTTTACGCTATTCCTCATTGATATCAAGCTTCACCGATGCATTGTGTTTTATAAAATTAATCACCATTTAAAAATAAGAATATTTGTTAAAATAAGAATAGAAAACTCTTCTTGCTTAGGAAGCTATAGTGGCTTAGTGGCAAGGAGTTCCTTTCCTGACACATGGTTTGAATCCATGGTTTGAGAGATGAGCAATTTCCTCCAATACAATTTATACAGCCTCTGAAAAGTCCCTGGAGTGTCAGCTATGCCTCAGTTCTAATTCATAGTATCTAAATAACAATATAACAGTTACCTGGTTTATAGTTTTAAATGTGCATTACACTTGAATTGGAGTTACAAAAATTTAAATAAGAGATTTTCTTTTTCAGGAAAATTAAAAAAAAAAGGCTGTACATATATCTTAACCAATAGCTTAAGCCATTAAGGACCTAAATATCTTTGTGCATACATCAAAATAATAGTGATAATTATTAAAATCATCATTATAATTGGTTATTGTTTTTAGCATTAATAGGCCAGGGCTTTACCTTCTGAATATATGAATTATTTAATGTTTAAAAAACCAGGAATTTTTGCTTACACGTCAATCTTTTTTTAAAATTTATTTATTAATTGTAATGAAAGTTTACAGAGACTTAGGATTTCCACTCATTCATTGTTGCATTTTTCTCCATGCCCACCCCCTCCCCCAATCACTCTTCTCCTTGAAAAGAAAAAGGAAAACTCTTTCATTGTTATGCAATCCCTTCCCCCAAGTTCATTCCACTATGCAGCCTTCACTCTGGACTTCTTTAATGATTTATCCCTTTTAAACAGATCTCTCCCTCATCTATTTCAATGCAATATACATCATTCCTCCCCTCCTTTTCTGTCTTCTCTCAACCCTGATGTCAGTCCCATTTTACAACAGTGGCCCTATGCAATATTTGTCCTTTTGTTACTGAGATATTTCATTCAGCATAATGTCCTCCAGGGTTATCCCTTTTGCATAATATTTTATGAGTTTTTGGTTTTCTAATGCTGCATAGAATTCCATTGTTACACTTCAATCTTATCTGTAGCATTTCAATTTCATGTCCATGTTATAAAATTCAGGTTTTATGTGCTAAGAAATTTCAATCCAGTGTTTTCTGAAAGTAGGTATAAATTGGAATTTATTTTTCCAAACTCTATATTTATCTACCCTATGTAAAATAATTAGATGTTTGTGGTAAAACAAAATTATTTTTATTTACTAAGTATGTTCACCAGTTAAATGTAATTTTAATGAATTAAGTTAATATAAGTAAATTGTAAATTGAAACTATATTACTAATAGCATAAATTTAGTCTATAAATTTGTAGATAAATTTTATTTCTATATGGCTCTTTTGTATATGTGAATGAGAATAAATTATGTTTAAATATATAAAGATAAAAAGATAGAGATATATGTAAGGTAAAAAAAATGGGTGAAGTGAAACAAAAGAGTTTATTAGCAGCTCTCGCGGCGGGTATGCTAAGGCCAGAGAAGGCAGGTGAGGCAGCGAAGACGCAAATGAGGAAATTACAGGCAAAATTTTATGGGTATGAGTTGAGGGGTATGGTACTACTCAGTGGTCTATTTTCTGTGGAGGACACTGATTGGGTGCCCTCTGTTAGTTCCCAAATATGGAGTCACCCAGTCCCTTTAGGTGAATTTCGTCATTTAAGGAAGTTAAGTTAAGGAAGGATGTGGTTGTGATCATGCTTTTTTTTCTGATTGGCCATAGCTGTCTTAACCCAGGCAGATTGGAATGTCTCCCAGAAGGTGTGGTCAGCGTGGAATGTTGCCCAGCTCCCAGGTGGCCTTTCAATAAGGTGGCCTCTTAAAGTTCGCAGAGAATTTTTAGACCATGCAGCTTAATTATCTAGCTTAACAGATGAAGAAGCTCTATTCACATAGATGGAAAACTATTTGGTGGTCAGGCCATAGAACTAGCATGTAATTAGATGAAGGTGATACAATAGCTGAGCTGAACTGAATAGAAATTAGTTGTTCTATTAAAAGACAAAGTTCTCAAGCGTCATTTATTTCTTCAAGACTTATTTACTGAATAGTAAATGTTTATTGCTGTGTAAAAAGTGAGCCCAAATTTAGTAGATTAAGTCAGCATACTATTATCTCTTAGCTTCTGAGGTCACAATATGGGCATGGTTTATATTTTCATATATATAAATTGTAAGGTTGTTGTTGGTATGTACTGTTGATTGATTACTAACACATAACTGACCCTTGAGTGGGTTCTCAGTGACAGTAAATCTCAGGGGAGGAGGTTGCTCATCTTTCTGTTATGGAGCAGCTTGTGGATTTGAACTGAGTGCCTTGGTTTGGCAGTGCAGCTCCTTACCACTCAATCACCAGAATTCCCAAAGTGCAACCCCTTACCACTAAACCACTAGAATTCCCAAATTGTAATGCTAAAGGAATATTCCACACAATGTTGTAAATGCTTAAAATACTCTCTTCCTACAATGAATAATTTTCAAGAAACACAGTAAGATTTAAAAGGCATAAGTTAAAGTGTGTGACATTATGCTAAATGCACAGGAAAAGCATCACCTTTGAGGGTTGTCTCTTTCCAGAGATAAACTAAATTATTCCTCAAAAAACTTTTGATTCCCAAAGAAATTCTGATGCTTCACAGTTTATTTTTTGCTTTGTTTGAAGCATATTCTATCCAGAAAGAAGTATCATGTGATCGACTCCTAAAAAAATCACTAGTGAGAACTTTATGTCCAGCAGCAAAATAAGAGTATCAGGAGATGAACTTTGGTGGCTTAGTGAGTGGAGACTTGTGCTGCCAACCCAGAGGTGTGTGGTTTGAATTCTTCTTCTGCTCCACAGGGGAAAAGGAGGGCAATTTCCACCCAGGTCATTTATTGCCTCTGAAAACCCACTGGAGGGTCAGCTATGAATCAGTTCTGATTCAATGACACATAACAATAAAATCAAAAGATGAACCCCCTGGCGCCTGAGAAGAACACACTCAAAATATAATTGGAGATGAGTTGCTTTCTTCAGCCTTAATGATGTGGATGAAGAAAAGCTAACAGGACCTTTGTATGTCAGTGTAACACAACTAAAATTAGAATAAAGAGCTGTAAATATCATTAATAATTAGGGAGCTCTGGTGGTCTAGTGGTAAGAAATGGTGCTGCAATCCTAAAGGCATGAGATTCAAATCCACCAGCTGCTCCACAGGAGGATGGACAGTTTACTCCTGTGCAATTACTTGCCTCTAAAAACCCCACTGTAGGGTCAGCTATGGGTCAGGTCTGACTCAACGGTACACAATAACAACTTTAATATATCTATAATATAATCTATAATAATCTATATAATCTATAATCTATCTATAATCTAGGAGTGAGCTGAAAGGGACTGGTGTTGACAATTTTGGATTGAACAGTTAGATAATTTCTCTCTCTGGGAATGACAAATCGCAGAGAATGTGTCAAGATCTATCCTGATGTAGAACCTGGCTAGTGATAGGTTAATAATCCACTGCTGTTGAATCTGTTTTGGCTCATAGCAACCCTCTAAAATTGGGTTTCTGAGGCTGTTAATTATAATTTGAGGAGACTACACATCTTTCCTCCCAAGAGCTGCTGGTGAATTAGAACCGTCAAATATGCATCACTCCTGGGTTAGCAGCACAATTC